AGCACCAGGAGGAGGAGAACGAGGACCACCAGGAGGAGGAGGAGGAGGAGGAGGAGGAGGAGGAGGAGGAGGAGGAGAGAGCACCAGGAGGAGGAGGACGAGCAAGACGAGGAGGACGAGAACGAGGACGAGCAGGAGGAGAGGAGGAGGAGGAGGAGGAGGAGGAGCAGGAGAAAGAGGAGGAGGAGGAGGAGGAGGCAGGCTGAGGCTGAGGCTGTGACTGCGACTGCCGTTGCCGCTGCGACTGTCATCGCGAATGCGACTACGACTGCGAGAACAGCAGAATTCGACAACTGGATTTTCATCTGAATCTTGAGGGGAATGCTTTCAGATATGCTTCTACACATCGCTGTTAGGTTGCTTTGCCGGGATAATTATAGTCAGAGTGAGGGGGCTGAACCGAACGGTCATTCATTGTCCCTGAGCGCGTGGCTGAAGTGGAATTCCGCGATGCAGATTATCGTTGTTGTTGCTGTTGTTGTTGTTGTTGTTGTTGGTGTTGGTGTTGGTGTTGGTGTTGTTGTTGTTGTTGGTGGTGTTGTTGTTGTTGGTGTTGGTGTTGTTGTTGTTGTTGCTGTTGTTGTTGTTGTTGTTGTTGTTGTTGGTGGTGTTGTTGTTGGTGGTGTTGTTGTTGTTGGTGTTGTTGTTGTTGCTGTTGTTGTTGTTGGTGTTGTTGAACATTATTACTTCTAAAGAATAATTATTGTTGGGACCCCTGGTGCGCGACCCCCCTCCAAAACCTAGGCCGCAGCTACATTTTCATCATTTTTTAGCGAAAGCTTCAGAAAAGTGAATTATTACCGGATCCGGTTGTTTTGTTGTACTCCGTTTTCCCTTGCAAAAAACACTATAAAATGAAAATTCTTGTTCTTACTTGATCAAATTGCAAGAATCCCTTGCAAAAAATAAGGTAAAGTGGACATTCGTGCGCGCAAGACGAAATCCTTCCAAAACCTTAGGTTTCGTAACGATTTTAACATAAAAAACATCAAAAACCCAATGGTTTTTTAAGAAAAAATTGTCAAAATGTCCTTCCGCGCGCGCTGTCCGAATCCTACAAAACCAATGGTTTTTCAACATTTATGTTACATGAGCTCGCGCGAGCTACTTTTTCTTGTTCTAACATAATCAAATTTCAATAATCCCTTGCAAAAAATAAGGTAAAGTGGACATTCGCGCGCGCAAGACGAAATCCTTCCAGAACCTTAGGTTTCGTAGCGATTTCAACATAAAAACATCAAAAAGCCAATGGTTTTTCAAAAACAAATGTCCAAATTTCATCCCGCGCGCGCTGTCCATCCCACAAAACCAATGGTTTTTCAACATTTATGTTACATAAGCTCGCGCGAGCTACTTTTTCTTGTTCTTACATAATCAAATTTCAACATCCCTTGCAAAAAAAAGTAAAGTGGACATTCGCGCGCGCAAGACCAACAAAAAACACGACGATCTCAGGAACTTCCACCATTTCAAAAACCTCTCACCAAAACCAATGGTTTTTCAACATTTATGTTACATAAGCTCGCGCGAGCTACTTTTTCTTGTTCTTACATAATCAAATTTCAACATCCCTTGCAAAAAAAAGTAAAGTGGACATTCGCGCGCGCAAGACCAACAAAAAACACGACGATCTCAGGAACTTGCCCCAAAAATGTGACCAACTCCGCTCTCTCTGTCTCTCTCTCTGTCTGCTCTCTGTCTCTCTCTCTGTCTGTCTGTGTCATGTATTGTATGTCACAATTGCAGGATGCTGGGCACACGCGCGCCCCGAATAAGTGACCAAGTTCTGTGGGTGTGTACCCCACGCCAGTGTAGTAGCCACGGTCGTCCGCACGCCACGAAGTGAAGTGTCCCAACGTCATAGGGCGGGAAGCTGGGTTTGGGTGGTCGCGAAGAGTCGTTTGGATATTTGGTAGAGCTTGAACTGCCCCCCCACGAAGTGGGGGTATTGTCTCGCGTCGCATGAAAACCCTGGCACTGGTGAGAACACTGAGCGTTCGGGTAAAATGATTGTTGTTGTTGTTGTTGTTGTTGTTGTTGTGTGTTGTTGTTGTTGGTGGTGTTGGTGTTGTTGTTGTTGTTGGTGGTGTTGTTGCTGCTGCTGTTGCTGCCGCTGCTGCTGCTGTTGTTGGTGTTGTTGCTGTTGTTGCTGTTGCTGTTGTTGATGTTGTTGTTGCTGCTGCTTCTGCTGTTACTGTTATTGTTGTTGTTGTTGTTGTTGTTGTTGTTGTTGTTGTTGTGGTTGTTGTTGTTGTTGTTGTTGTTGTGTTTGTTGTTTGTAGTTTGTTGTGTGTTGTGTGTTGTTAGTTGTGTGTTGTGTGTTGTGTGTTGTGTGTTGTTTGGTGTTTGGTGTTTGTTGTTTGGTGTTTGGTGTTTGTTGTTTGTTGTCTATTGTTTGTTGTTGTCGTCGTCCCACCCGCGACCCGCCCCGCGACCCACCCGCGACCCACCTCGCGACCCACCCGCGACCCACCCCGCGACCCACCCGCGACCCACCTGC